CAATTGTTTAAATTGGAAAATTAACTGCGATGATCATTCTTCACTTTCATCTACTACCGCAGTTCATATATGAATTATTTCATATAAACTTCACATCGCAACCTTGTTGCTGACGATTTTTTTTATTTAAATACCTCAATCGAGGAGGGTATGTCAGTTTCAATGGCAGGAAAATTCTGAAACCCTATGTTCCCCCATGTAAATTTGTCAGTGATATAATATTACTCTCAAAACGCAAAACAAGAACTGACGCGAAGTTTTCCGAGATGTCCAATCACTGATGATTTCTAATACGTACTTCTGAAGAGCGGAACTCTATTTCCCGCCTTTTTCATGTGACGTTATTGATTTTACTCTCAACACTTAACCAATCGGTGAACGAACTTTTCTCACATTTCCAACCACGGACGACTTTGTAAGCGCGCTTCCTGATAGAGAGAAATAAGAAAATTCTGAAATTCTTTTTCTCGCCAAATAAACTTTGCATTTAAAGGAGCTATACATCACGATTTGCGCAACTTGAAAAGTTGTTCAAGTTTGTCGTTTTTAATCTGTTTCAATCTTCTCCATCCTTAACCATTCTTGTTCCTTAATGGTTTATTATTACCTCTTTGTTGTTTTTCTATGTTAGTAAACTACTATTTTCATCTTTCTTTCAATTTTAAGGTAATTTTGTACGCGGTCAAAATAACTCAAAATGCCGGCATAACTGAGCTCCTTTAATGTAATTTTAACTTATGAACTCTACTTTCTTTTACAGTGCAGCCGAGAAAAAATGCCAAAGCATTACAAAAGCAACATGATCGAACATGTGAAGTCGATCTTTACGAAGATAACAGAGCTGGACCAGACACTAAGCAAACACGAATCCACACTCAAAGAACAAGCCGACCTCATCAAAGCCCAGGACAAACGTGTTGGAGATCTGGAGAAGATCGCCAACAGTCAGCTCATCTGGCGCATCGAAGACTACTCGCGCAAAATGAAGGAAGCAAAGGCGGGTAATGGAGACACACTGTTTAGTCCGACATTTACCACGAGCAAACACGGGTATCGCTTGTGCGCATCGGTGTGTTTGAACGGCGATGGGAAAGGAAAAGGGACGCATATGTCTGTGTTTATCAGCGTGCTAAAAGGTAATAAAAAGAACGTCTTATGTATTCTCGATATTAGACTGGATTTAGAGCGGTTTTCAGTCTCAATCTCAATCAATTTGAGTGTCCTAGAAGCAAAACCAAAAGCCATTTTAAAAGAAATGAAATTTATATGTGAGCGGTGACCAAAGTAGCAAGAGCTTTCTGGTTGGACACCGCCATGGTCAAGTAAATGGCAGGAAAAAAATTAATTCAGCTAAGCTTGACCTACACACACGGCACTACATTACAACATACATACACCGTATTCACACTTATACAGCAACAAAATCAAAGAGCAAAATATGCAGCACCAAACTCAAAATTCGTTATTCAGATTTTTTTTAGATTTTATTAATTGACACTATTTACAGACATATTTCACTATCGCACACTATTACAAAAAATTCATTAATTAAAAATAAGGAAAATATAATAATAATAAAACCAAAACAAAATGTGCTCAGTGACCAAAGAAGCATATGCTATCGTGTTGGTCACTGACACGTTCAAAAATAAAAGACAAGACACATCAATTAATAGAAACAATGCAACAAAGGAAGTAAAATGTGAATAACAAAAGTATTCGAAATAAATAAGTTAAATGTTATATTTAGATTGTTGGGCAAACACCCAATTCTGAGGGGTTGAGGGGTACAGATTTCCAAATCTCTGAACCAGAAACCTATAGGTTGACCTACTCATATCAACAATTTTTGGTGCTGTTTCAGGTGCGTTCGACAGTTTGCTCAAGTGGCCATTTGACTACCGCGTCACCTTCTACCTTCTGGATCAAGACGAAGATCACGCGCAACGGAAGCACATCAAATTCAGCATCAAGCCGAACCCGTGTCCAGAGAATGAACCATTCCTTGGCCGACCCAAGCTCGAAAAGAACGCTAGCTTCGGAGGAGCAAAGTTCGCTAAACACGAGGAAATCGAGACCAGAAACTACTGCAAGGACGATACGATCTTCCTCAAGATATCTGTTGATTGTGACGGATTGAGTGAGCCGTAGAGAATGCATTAATTTCAGTACAGAACTGCGCATGACAATCAGTAGTGTAGTGCCACTTCATACAGCAGTGCACCTTTCAGTCAACTGTGCGGCGCAGCGGGCGAAAATTTAAGAAGCCTGCCACGAGTTTCAGGGATTGTCAGAGAACCCCTATTGCTCAGGTTGTTGGAAGGACCATTTACGCTTAAGATTATCCAATAACTTTTATGGAGACTGGATAAACCCGTTGAACTTTTGGCAGAAATGATGGAAGCTTATTTCAGTAAGCCGAGAAGAAGGCAAGTTACTTGACCTTACTCAAGTTTTCATTTTCCAATTCAGGTCCCCCGCAAATTATTGTATGGTTCCTAATACGGTATTAAGGTGTTAATCCGTCTTGTTTAAAATCATCATCTTTAACTGCTAAATTTTTTTTTTTTTGAAAACTATGCCTCGGAGTGGGGCGGAGGTACCTTTATCAGTGTGTATTACGAAATGCATTCCACTTTCAATGTAAGGCACTTATGAATAAGAGAACTCTCTCGCTGTGCGAGGAAGTAATGGCAGTGTGCGGGACATAGATAAGTAGTTTGTTGTGCAAACACTACGAGCTTGTTTTAAATTATTGAAGTCATGTATCCGTTTTTACGGAGGCCAGGAAAAAATAGTGTTGTCCCCAAAAAGCAGCAGTGCGGTATTTAGAAAATATTTGGAGACAGTTGCTTTTTTTACCATGGATGAATCCCCTCACGGTCAGTTTACAATTACAAGGGATGTTTTTCGCCGGGCGCTCAAGGCAATTCATAGTTTAAAGTATATCCTGCCACACCTAAAATAACCAATTAAATGTATCTGCTTTCAAAGAGTTTAGATTTAAACCTTTTAAGGCAGTGTTACGGTATTGGATAATTTGGAAATACTAAATAGTTCAGGGGAGGGGGGGTGGGTTAACAGGGAAATCTTGAAAACCTGTCACAGAAATTTAAATAATGAATAGCCAAGAATAGGCTACAAGAAGTAAATAATCTTAGATAATCGATAAGCTTCTAATAATGGATAAACTATGCTCGATTTCCGCCGCTATCTCAAGTCCAGTCCATGTTCCTCCTCTTTCTCCCTGATAAAGAGGCCGAGGAGTGTCTTCGGGGGAAGAGCGCGGGCTCCTTTCCTAAACAGCGGCTGGTAATCGAACCTATGAATAGACACGCACATAGTTAACTACTTTAAGTCCACCCCAGGGAACAACTTGAATTGATATACAATCAAACCTCCTTTAGGCAACCACTTCTTTAATTTATAGATTAGAGGAGAAAGACCCCAGATTTAAGTCTGCAGTCAAATTATTGTTATATATTGACACATGCTGCACTGGAGCACCCAGCTTAGCTTGACAAAACTACAAGGTTCGACTGTCAAAATTAAGAAATAGCATCATTACTTTTAGCCAGTACAATTAAGCCTACGGTACATCTTTAGGCTCTTCACGTAATCTTTCCTCCCTCAAGGAAAGAACGCGTGACAGACCGAATGTACGTCCTTGTAGAAGGCTAAACTTCTGAAACTTGTGACGAACTCTATAAGTGTTGGTAAGCAACTGCACGCTCATTAGACATGTTAACTTTAATTTTCTATCTGTGCGAAAACATAACTTATTGTGCATCCATCTGCTTACACATCACGGAAAACGGTGGATTTCAAAAGTAACAACATTTCAATTTTCGTAGACTTAGCTCATTAGATTTTGAGATATTTTCAAGGGTAGCAAACTACCTTTTACCGTGCAAGTTTCCAGCACTTAATTGTAAAACAGACCGAATGTACGTCATTGTAGAAGGCTAAACTTCTGAAAGTTTTGACGAACTCTATAAGTGTTGGTAAGCAACTGCACGCTCATTAGACATGTGAACTTTAATTTTCTATCTGTGCGAAAACATAACTTATTGTACATTCATTTGCTTACACACCACGGAAAAAAGTGGACTTCAAAAGTAACAACATTTTAATTTTCGTAGTCTTAGCTCATTAGATTTTGAGATATTTTCAAGGGTAGCAAACTACCTTTTATCGTGCAAGTTTCCAGCACTTAATTGTAAATAAAGATAAACGTTTTTAAATGAAAACTTCGAGTCTTGATGAGCTTGATTCAGTAAACTAGTTTAGTTGTTGATACTTTCTAAAGACACGTGGCTTATCTTATATCAAAGACTTAACGGTTGTGATAAGCACACTGTGGAGTGTTACACTTGGGCGGGGTAGAGGAAGTTTAATTCCCGCCAGAGAAACCCTATGTAATGAGAGTTATACAGAACGTTTATCGCAAAAAGGGTGTGATCGACAAAAATGCTTCAGCCACTAATCAAACCACAAAAATATGAGTTTTGAATATTGAAAGGGCGTGGCACAATTAGCTACAATTTGAGGCGTGACAGTCACACCAGGTATCACAACAAATATACACGTAAATTAAGCAAGTGAAAATCGAGGTTTAATTGTATCTTGGATTGTTTATATGCAAGCTTACAAGCTCTTTAAATTTTTGGAATCATATGAATTCGTATCTGGTTAAAAGCAAAACCGACGTATGCAAACGAGACAAATGTAAGCAATGAGTTCCCCAGTACAGTGAACAGTTGCGAATACTACGATTATCAGTTCAGTAAGACACGAACGAGCTTAGGAGACGAAGTTTTGGACTTAAAATCACGATGTTGCCACGGACATTTCGCGCGCTTTGCTGCCAATTACGTCAATGCCCGCAAGTTGCCACTGGAAACGGAGCCGGTTGCCCGTGACAACAACACAAGTTGAACGTTAAAACCGGGTCACCAATCTTTCGTCGCCCCTTACTCAACTGATGATCGTAGTACATGATGGGTACTAATTGTGTAACACGAGGAAGTATGAAATTATTTCGATACTATTTTTCCATAAGTTTGAGTTAGCTGCACATCATTTGGTTCAAGTTAGCACTGTTGTGTTAACATCCCAAGTCTACACAATTTATTTGTCTGTAGCAGTTGAAGCCCTTCATCGCTTTTTTGGTCTTTTGCTGACGAGTTTGAAAGATGGATGAAGGATAGATGGCTCTCCCCACTCGATATTTTTGCTACCAACTTGGACCTGAGTAGTTGCCATCTTGGATTTCAACGGTCCGAGAAGGCATTGGAAACGATTCGAACATTACTGAAATTTTTACAAGTTAAAAAATTCACGATTTTCCTGACTTTAGTCGGGAATGATGGAAACTCCATTTTGCTTGAAATCAGTGGCCCAAACTTAAGGAAAAGAGTGGCTTTTATCGTGAGTATTTCTAACACTGTTCTCGCACATGAAACTCTAAACACGACATAAAGTAAAAGACAGGAGCCCATGACCATGGGCTCCTGGTAAAGTACATTCTCCAAGTAATGTGCTCTTTCAGGTACACATTTTGGTACTGCATTTCACTGATTTGTTCAGTATTGTACCATTTAAAACAAGAACTCCATAGGAGATCTTTATCTATTTAAAATTCACTTATTAAAAACAAAAAATAAAACTTTCTTACACGTGTTTTGAACTATTTATAACCGACTGTATACCTCACCTCGTGAACCGAAGAGCTGGAAGCATGTTCCGCGAAACTTAAGACTAAATTAAGATTTTCCATTCAAGATTTGCCTACATTGCAGTTTTGTTTAAAAAAGAAAAAAGTATTTGCCGCACTTTGTTTTGTCAGCGCAACCTTCAGAAAGCTTCACCTCACGAATAAACTGTAAACCTTTTCCCCTCACTAAAAATCAATTAGCTGCGTTTGGTTAAAATGTTTTCGTTTGCGTGTTATATACGCAGGAACTTTACTAGAAAGTGATCGATCTACCAGGAATTTTTAGGGAATAAAAAAAACTGGAGATTGCAATACGAATGTTTTCAGTCCAATACTTTGTTTAACAAAAACAATATATTTCAAAAAATTTAAGGAGTTGCCCATCACTCTTAGTAACGAATTGTTTGCAA